TGTGTGTGTGTGTGTGTGTGTGTGTGTGTGTGTGTGTGTGTGTGTGTGTGTGTGTGTGTGTGTGTGTCTCACACAATCACACACACAGTGACACAGACACAGTGACACAGACACAGTGACACAGACACAGTGACACAGACACACACAGACACACACACACACACACACACACACGCCCTGTGTCTGTGTCTGTGTCTGTGTGTTTCTACCTAATATTCTCCCCCTTGTTCCGCATGCTCCACCGCTTACCTCCACTCACCACCACCCTCCCATCTCCCCCAATTTCACACAGGCGGATGAGGTTAAAGGACGGCCCGTCAGTGCTTGCAGGCAAATTACTGGGAGCACCGCGAGTACCTCAACTCCGCCCTGCTCCCTGTACTCTCTGCACTGCAAGTTCACCGCGCGCGCTGGGACGATGTGCCGATGTGACGCTGTGATGATGGGATGATGGGACGTGATGGGCTCACTTCCTCACTCTCGCTCTCCATCCCCTCATTTTCTCACTCCCTCACTGCTTCACATTCTCTCATCTTCTCGGCGCCGTAACTGCGCGGGCCAACCGTTTTATGTTTTGCCCACACCCCTCTCTGTTGGGGGCAGTGATTGGTGACAGCTCCAACAAACACAAACGCCGCAACACGCACATGCACGCACAGGGTGAACGTGCAAGCCATGCATGTTGAAACCGCCTTTTTTTTTTCTCCTTTTCACTTTCATTGCGCTCGTGGTACATGTGCCTCGTACACGCACCCACACGTATCACCCTTTGACACCCCTCTCCCCCTCTCCCTACCCCTTCCTTGCGGTGCTGTTGCTGCTGCAGCCGTGTTGTTGTATGCTGTCGGTGTGCGTGCGCGGGTTGGAAACAGGTGGTGACCTGACAGCCCTGCGCCAATGCCAACCTCTGCTCCCCGTGGGCATGTGTCGTTCTTACATCTTTGATTGTGTTTGTGTGTGTGTGTGTGTGTGTGTGTGTGTGTGTGTGTGTGTGTGTGTGTGTG